GAGCACTAAAACTGAGTCAATCTCTATGAAAGATCAATGGCAGAAAGGAAAGCTTATTGGCCGGGGTACATTCGGAAGTGTTTATGTTGCAAGCAACAGGTAATATGAGTTCCGTTGGCATTTTCTGTTGTTGTCATTTGCTTCTGTGGACTGACTGTGTTTTTCTATACTTCCCCGAAGAGAAAATGGAGCTTTATGTGCAATGAAGGAAGTTGAATTATTTCCTGACGATCCAAAATCGGCCGAATGCATAAAGCAGTTAGAACAGGTAATTTTAATATTTGTTTCAGCTGTGATCAACTGTGTGAGTTTTTTGTAACTAACTTTTTGTCTTTCTGTGATTGGAGGATCTTTCTATTATGATCGTAGGATTTCCTTTTTAATTGTTTTCATACTAATGGCAAATCCTTTGGCTAACAAACTCTTGTTTAAGCTGGTAAATATGTTTAGAGTACAGTTTTGAAGCTCAAGCTTTCAGGTGCTTGGTTTCATTTTCTCTGAACATCTTGATTCTCTTCGAAGAACCAGTTTCTGTAATTTATTAGTTATTATTTTGATTTTCAAAATATGATAAGAAATTAAACCAGAGATTCCAAATAATTTTATTTTAATTTGTTTATTCAGTGCCAATGACATGCGTGTTGTGATTTATAGTTGAGTGAACCTAGTAGCATATTACTTGGTGTTGCAACACTTGTATCCATGTTTATGTGTACTAGTGCCTTAGAAAATGATGCTTCCTACGAGATTTTACCACTAACTTTAAATTTTATGGAAAAGTCTCATTAAAAGATATGAATATAATAAGTTCTAGCCTCTACGTGTATGTTTTGTTCATTTTTTCCCTTGTTTTAGTAGGCATTAGTTAATCACGAGCCTCTTTGAAAAATTGGAGGTGTGCCTATCTGGCGTCCTACTTGCTAAAACTTGTTATTTAAAATGATAAAAAGTTTTTCTGTAACTTATGCTTTATCTTTATCAAGGCAGGCTTTAAATTGGCTCATGTTATCCTTAAATGCTGCCATCAGTTTTCTTCATCCAAATGAAGATAATGTTCTGCTATTTTACAATGCCATAACTTCGAATTTGTCCTATGATGACAGGATGAAATTTGATCTTGTTTAGTTTTGCCTCTCTTCTTCTAACTGTCACAGGAGATCAAAGTTCTCAGCCAGCTAAAGCATCCAAATATTGTCCAGTATTATGGTAGTGATATTGTGAGTAATTGTCTTGCATGTTAAGACGTTTCAAAGTTGTTCATTTTTATAATCTTATAATTATAACTAATTACAATCCTCCTCTGGGTCTATGTAGGTTGAAGATCGATTATATATATACCTGGAGTATGTTCATCCTGGTTCAATTAATAAATATGTCCGTGAACATTGTGGAGCCATGACAGAATCTGTTGTTCGGAATTTTACTCGTCACATTCTCTCAGGGTTGGCCTACTTGCATAGCACAAAGACTATACACCGGTAGGGAACATTTGTATTGATGTGTTTGAGACAAAGTCTCAAGTTTGACATGTAAAATGAAGATAACCATAAATATTATATGGACAAAAAGAAAGACATACTTGAATATTTTAGATTCCCTCATCAGTTAGTTTAATCATGGAAGAATTAATTATGAACAACAGTCTGTATGCTTATCTCATGTCTATATGATTATATCTATTCGGAGACTTAATTTTTCATCTTTTTTATACAGGGACATCAAAGGTGCTAATTTGCTTGTAGACTCTTGTGGGGTTGTCAAGCTTGCTGACTTTGGAATGGCTAAACATGTAAGTATGAGTTTGAGTGCTTAGTGCCTTCCTACTATTTTTCTCTTCTTTTAGTATCTGTTACCCTTTTCCCTTTTTCTGTATTTTTGTCAAAGTATATTCATGCATATAAATTAATAGCATTGATCTCTATAGATCTGGTGTATACTTTACTTTCTGTTGTCGACCTTTTTTACTTGTGTCTATAATTATAGATGTTGATGATTGTCAAGGAAAAATTATCATATTTGTTTGCTCCGAGTCAATTTCTGTAAACATGTGTAACGTGGGCACACTACTTATATACTCCACTTTGGATAAATAGGTATTTCAATTGTTCAATTTGTGTAATGTTAGTGCCTAGGCACTCAACTTTACTATCATATTATTAAGCAGCCTTTAGTTTGGAGAAAAGAAGTCATTTTTGTTTGGATGATGCTGACACATTGGTTACTGAATGATTGTGAGCATTAATATGACATTCCACTGCTGCTAAATTTTAATTGCTTTAGGAGATAGAATTTGTTCTTTTTCAGGATTATACATGAATGATGATATATATCTCTACAGCTTACAGGACAAGTTGCCGATCTCTCTTTAAAGGGAAGTCCATACTGGATGGCTCCTGAGGTATCTTTTTGTTACTATATTATATGTATTATTGGCTTATGGTTTCTCATAATAAAAGCGATCACTTAAAATACTAGGTAGATTATATAAATTGGATTGGCTATTTAGTGATGAGAGATGTCATTAAAATTTATCTTTTCCTGCAGCTCCTTCTGTCTGTGATGCAGAAAGATAACAGCTCTGATCTCGCCCTAGCTGTTGATATTTGGAGCCTAGGTTGCACTATTATAGAAATGTTCACCGGCAAGCCACCTTGGAGCGAGTATGAAGGGGTAAGTGTTAGATAACTTTTGCATGTGCTTGTAGCTGCATCAACCCAGATAGAAGTTTCACCTTTCAAGTCATGCCATTTGGTGAAAGAACTTATATCTGCACCACTGAGGCACCAAGATATGTTAGTTGCTTGGTTGGAGGACAGTATGGGGCTTGGGCTCTTAATACTGATACTTGTTTTAAAACTCTAAATGTCTTGGGTAATTATGACACACATTAGCTTTTCACCTTCCTTTCTCCTGTGCTTTTCTGCACCTTGAGCACGTATATTTGTAATATTAGTAAGTGGGCATCTACCCCGTCAAGACGATGGATATGTTATCAGCTTATCATCATCATTCCATAGCATATAAAAGACATTGATGACTTAACAGAACTTTTGATTTTCATATTGAACTGATCATTGGTAGTTATTTTTTTATGAGTTTGGTAGATTTTACTATTTGGTTGGTGGGTTACAAGTTCATCTGTTAATACAGGCTGCAGCTATGTTCAAGGTCATGAGAGATACCCCATCAATACCTGAATCATTGTCATTTGAAGGCAGGGATTTCTTAAAATGCTGCTTTCAGAGAAATCCTGCAGAGAGGCCAACTGCTGCCATGCTGCTCGAACATCCGTTTATGAAAAACTTGCAGCATCCAGATGGCCCATCTTGCTCTCAGGCCGTTGGAGCAAATTTGCTGGTA